ACGACCAAGACAAATTTCTCCCTGCGAGATGAATAAAGATTGTCATTGCCATTGTCATTGTCAAGAATCTGGATACTACATGTATACTTTTAGACGACCTAGATGACTTAGCTCGGCGCACACTTAGACAATTTCCATACGTGTCACGGCTGCAAGTATATAAAGGAGGCAATTTCCTCTTGGCATAATCAGGAGACAAATGTAAGGTAAGTACGTCGTATAGCGCTACACGACAAAATGCCCCGACTGCTGTAGAAAAAAGGACGCCCTACATCTCTTCTGAAATGTGTTCAGAAGGAAGAAGCATCTGATGGAATTGGCAGATTGTGTCTGTTGGTATAGGCTCTGCTGTGTCCCATAGTGCATCATAATTCTAGCTGTTGAAGCTTTCTTAATTGTATGGCGACTCTTTGTAAATATTGAAGGGTGCCACTGACGTGTTTTATTTCCTTTTTTTCATTGTCTGTCTGTCTGCCTGCCTGGGTCGGAGCAAGGAAAGGCTCGAACTTAGGTACGGAGGGAGCTAGGCTATCTGAGGGCGGGAGAGATCGAGCAAGCTCTAGCTGGGGGAAGGGGGTGGGGGTGGGGGGTAAGTGGGCTCCAAAACGACAGTCAGCGGTGCGGCGTTGTGATTGGCCAGGCCAGTGATGAGTGAGGTGGGACAGGCGGCATAGAGGGATGGGGCGGAGAGGCGCGTTACGTGAGCAACTCCAAAAGTGATGTGCCATAGCCGAGACCGCCGCACTAAAAGAACAGGAGAGCGTGTAGTGTGTGATGTTTTGGTAATTCCCCTTTGCATTCCTTCTGGAACTAAAAGTCCCACTATAGCAATGTTCAACGGTATTAAACAACGAATAAAATGAGGGGACGGGGTGATGATAAAAAGGGGGGAGGGGGGAGGGGCGCACTCAGCCATAAAAAAGAAAGTCTTTCTAAACTACACCCTTTTTTCGAAGTCATGTTGTTCATACAACCTTTAACTCTTCGTGTGCCACGAGTTACCAGCACATAATCAAACGATGTGGATGGAGAAAGACACTGACGTTCCGATGCTTGGTACAGAAAGAGTTAAATAGCTTACCTCACAAACCAGCTGGAAGAGCATGGCTGACGTCATGTACGGCAATAGCATTGCCGGTTCAAATCTGAAGGACTGTACTAAACCTCCACTAGGGTGGAACTCTGCCAGGATGGTGCTGATGGCAAAAAGATTGACCTGTGGGTGTGGAAGATTGGTGAACTATTGTAAAGGAATATAAATTATAATATAAATCGTTGAATCAAAATTTAATGTGCCAAGCCCAAAACATTACAATCATTTTTCATTGCAATTTTAATCTGTGGTAATGGCTGCATGGGCTCGTAAAATATTTTGCCGCGATTGAAAAAAATCCTAAATGTTCAAAAACAAAAGTTAGAAAAGATATAATGTAAGTACAATTTTAAAGAATACAGCAGTTTCCCTCTTTCTCTCTCTCTCTCTCTCTCTCTCTCTCTCTCTCTCTCTCTCTCTCTCTCTTTCTCTCCCATACAAATGTAGAGTTCCAGGTCTAGAAAAGTTAAACTGGTTGCAAACAGATGCTTCTTCTTATGGGTGAGTGTGTGTGTGTGTGTGTGTGTGTGTGTGTGTGTGTGTGTGTGTGTGTGTGTGTGTGCGTGTGTTTGTGTTTGTGTATGTTTGCTTGTTGGTATGTGTGTTTGTGTGTTTGTGTGTGTATATTGAGAAGAACAAGAGAGGAACGTAGAAGATGCTGCACTTGTTTTTTGTGACTCTATACTGAAACACCTTGAAACATCTAAAACGTACACGAGGGTGCTTTTTGTAGATTTTTCCTCAGCATTTAATACAATTCAATCGCATAATATTGTCATTGAAAAACTTCTGAGTCTGAGAGTTAGTTATCATATCGCAGCATGGGTCCTGGAATTTTTGACAGGTAGACCACAATATGTGAAGCTAAACAGCACAAAATCTGACACAATTCTTTGTAACACCGGCGGTCCTCAGGGGTGTGTTTTGTCACCAGTTTTGTATACTATATATACCAACGATCATAGAAGTATATATAAAACAACACGCTTAATTAGGTTTGCAGATGGCTCCGCTATTATTGGATTAATAAATTTGATGAAAAAGAGTATTTCGAAGAAATATGTAGGTTTTTTTAATGGTGCAACTCAAATTTTCTAAAAGTGAACCTCTCAAAAACAAAGGAAATGATTTTTGATTCTAGAAGAGAAAAACCAACAATCCCGCCACTCGTAATTGAACAAGAAACTATTGAAATCACGGATTCATACAAATATCTTGGCCTTACAATAGACAACAAATTTACATGGCAAAACCACGTAAACAATATCGTTAAAAAGGTAAATCAGAGGCTGTACTTTCTGAGGAAACTAAAGTCTTTCAATCTGAATCCATCCATCCTTCAGATTTTCTACACCACCACAATAGAAACTTTGATAAATTTTGGAATCACTTGCTATGGTAGCAATCTGGGAAGGCAGCACATTATAAAACTAAATACGTTGATCTAAAAAAGGCGGAAATAATGCTTAGTGACCATAGCCACCCACTGGCATCGGAATTTCAACTATCGGCCCGCTGTAAACGATACATTTTTTAAAAAGCAAGAACAGACAGATATAGAAATTCATTCGTACCAACTGCAGTGAGGTTACTGTACACACAGTGCTACTAATGAAACACACACACACACACACACACACACACACACACACACACACACACACACACGCACACACACACACACACACACACACACAGAGAGAGAGAGAGAGAGAGAGAGAGAGAGAGAGAGAGAGACAGAGAGAGAGAGAGAGAGAGAGAATGAATGTTTTACGGAGCGGGTTGTCCCAGCCCGTGAGACATGTATTTACTTGGCCTAATGTCCTGTCTTGTTGTGCGTTTGCGTGAGTGCACCTTTAAGTCTATCTTTTGTAACGTCTACTGCTATTGTTTACGACCAAGACAAATTTCTCCCTGCGAGATGAATAAAGATTGTCATTGCCATTGTCATTGTCAAGAATCTGGATACTACATGTATACTTTTAGACGACCTAGATGACTTAGCTCGGCGCACACTTAGACAATTTCCATACGTGTCACGGCTGCAAGTATATAAAGGAGGCAATTTCCTCTTGGCATAATCAGGAGACAAATGTAAGGTAAGTACGTCGTATAGCGCTACACGACAAAATGCCCCGACTGCTGTAGAAAAAAGGACGCCCTACATCTCTTCTGAAATGTGTTCAGAAGGAAGAAGCATCTGATGGAATTGGCAGATTGTGTCTGTTGGTATAGGCTCTGCTGTGTCCCATAGTGCATCATAATTCTAGCTGTTGAAGCTTTCTTAATTGTATGGCGACTCTTTGTAAATATTGAAGGGTGCCACTGACGTGTTTTATTTCCTTTTTTTCATTGTCTGTCTGTCTGCCTGTCTGCCTGCCTGTCTGTCTGTCTGTCTGTCTGTCTGTCTGTCTGTCTGTCTGTCTGTCTGTCTGTCTTTGTCTGTCTGTCTGTCAGTCTGTCATACTTTTAACCCAACCCTAAAATACCGTCATTGTGTAGGCAGGCTTTGCTTTACTCAAACAGAAGGGAATTCTACAATTTATTTTTTTGGGAAAAAAGTATACCTTTATATCAAGTAACATAGGTACACATACAGATAATTCCAAGAAACATGAAACTGCATTGATACACCTAACGTATGGATGTTGACTGACCTACAGACAAAATTAAGCGTTCATGGAGATATTCTCCTATCTTTCTGGAAAGACGAAAATTGCCTCTAACAGAGGAAAATAATTTTTAAAAATTACGCTCTTACTATTTTGAATTTATCATTTAGCAGGCAATCATCCCAGGCGTTATGTGCATCACTATATTTTCATTTTTTAGGGAAATATCTGTATTAATTTGTTTCATTTTTTGTGGAATGACCCACTTCCTTACCTGAGCATTGTAGACTGTGAACTCCACGAACACAGCTCTCGTGTATCGATCTATCCATTTCTCCCTTTCCAGCTTGTCCATAATGTTGATCAAATCGGCCTTTGAGCCTTCCAGATTTACGACGTAGCCACCACCCGAGTACATTCCCAGCGTTCCCCAGTAGGGATAGCCGTTCAGATCTCCAGCAGTTCTGCAGTGTAGATTATAATTTCGTTTTCTATACGCACGCACGCACAAAGAAACAAACAAACAAACAAACAAACAAACAAACACACTCTCACACACACAGAGAGTAACAGAGAGAGAGAGACAGAGAGAGACAGAGACAGAGAGAGAGACAGAGAGAGAGACAGAGAGAGAGAGACAGAGAGAGAGAGACAGAGAGAGAGACAGAGAGAGACAGAGAAAGGGGTAGGGACAAAGCACTTCGTTTATCCTCTTTAAATTCAATTTGTCCTACAAAGGCATTGCCATTAAATAATAATAGAAAGTCTTCTGGATTAATTCCCTTTATGAAGAGCCCAAAGCAAATCGTTTCAGCCACACGTAGCAATAACTATTGCAAATATTAGGCTACAGTTGAATTTATTTATTTTTTTTTATGTAAAAAGGCAGTCGCCTTGTGACTTACGTGTACATGTATTCTGGACGAGTGTCGTTTGCAGTGTCTGTAGAATTAAAAAGCTCCCAGCCAACTTTGAAGTCCCTTTCTTCCTGTTTCAAAATGTCGTATTGAATGTTGCACTGGCCGACCAATGTCTCCATCTTGTCAGGGATCTCACACAACGCTGAGGACAAGATCAGGAGAAATGGGGAAGTGGAGCATTTTCAGCTGTTGTTGTCTCTGCTGCTGTTGTTGTTATTGTTGCTGTTGTTGTTGTTGTTGCTGTTGTTGATGTTGTTGTTGCTTTTGTTATTGTTGTTGTTGTTGTTGTTGTTGATATACGCGTGTTCGTCCACACAGAAACATTCTTCATCATTTACAAGGTAGGCTTCTTCTTTGTGTCTAGGTCAACCTGGTCTAAGAGGGATACATGAAACGTCCGAGAAGAAAGACTGAGATACTCTATATTAATTCTCTCCACGCGAGAATCGACCTCAAGTCTTCTGTGTGTGATACCGAAACATAAAACCTCTACACGACAGACGCCAGTTCTGATGTAGTAAAAAAAAAAAGTGTATAAAAACAGATGGACTTATGCTTTAACTATTTTGTTACACATTTTGGACGGGGTTGCATTTCTTCATCTACATCGGTAAGAGACAATACCAAATAAGGCAGTATTCCCTCAATGCACGATCAAATGTACACAAAGTGTATAATTTGTTGGCCAGTAGTCTTGTGTTATGTTTAGGCGGACAGAATCGAACCCAAGTCCGAGCCAGACTGAGTGTGGTTTTTGTTTGGTTTTTTTTGTTTGTTTATGTATTACTGATTGGTAATTTTAACATATTTATGTCCTTATAAATTTTATACATATTTGTATTTCAGATTTTTGTTATGTTTCTTTGGTTGCTCATTTATTAACGTATTATTTCTTTTCTGTTATTTGTTTTGTTGGGATTTTGTTGTTGTTGTTGCTGTTGTTATTGTTGTTGTTGTTGTTGTTGCTTTTGAGTAGTTATTAAGTTGGTTTATTTATTAATTTGTAAATCTTTTTTCATATCGCACAAGTACAGGAAATGCTGCATTTGTACAAGTACTCAAAAGTAAACGCTACCAGGCTTTATCCTCAGTTGTCTCATGGTGGCGTAGCCGATGATCCTGGAGACTTTGTCGTTGATGTAGGCTCTCAGCTTGAGGGGCGGGTAGTCGTTGTAGTAGGAGCCTGCACGCAAGCCGTTCACCAAACCGGACTTGGCCCAAATCCAGAACTCGTCGGTGTTGCGGATCTGAACAGAAAGAACGTAGAAGGGAATGGTAGACTGTAAGAAAGAAAGAACGAAAGAAAGAAAAACAAGAAAGAAAACAAGAAAGAAAGAAAGAGAGAAAGAAAGAGAGAAAGAAAGAAAGAAACGAATCGATAATAAGCCTGTTTGCAAAAATAAGATAAGATAAGATAATACTTTATTATCCACGAGGGAAATTTTTCTTGACTGTACAGAACCGCAAAAACACATGCAGGTATGCATAAAAGCATTGAATTATATATTACTCTCATTAAAATTCAATATATGAAAAGAGAAGTAAAGCTGACAAAAAGTGCAATGACGTATCACATCAGATGCACCATTCAATCACAGGCAGAATTTAGGTACAAACCTTTGGAGTTATATAGATACATACTCTAAAGAGCAATACGCATCTAAGCTTATTCTGACAATAGCCTTATGCTATATAGTAAATAAAAGGTTTTTTTATATCTTTCTTTCTTTGTTTTTAGAGGTACATATCTTCCGCTGCGTGATCTGACAATTTGGGTGTGAGTCTTTGAGTGCATAAACAAGAAAGAAAGCATTAAAGAAAGTACGAAAGAAAGCAAGAAAATAAACCCACAAAAGAAAGAAAAAAAGAAAGAGAAAAAGAGAAATAAAAGGACAGAACAGATCTGTTTGGCAGTTAAAAGCCTGTATGCAAAAGAGTGGGTTTATCATTGGGTGCACATACAAGAAAGAAAGAAACAAAACAATGAACGAAGAAAAGAAAGAAAAGAAGAAAGAACGAAAGAAAGGAACGCATCCGTTAATCAGTTATTAACCTGTCTGCAAAAGAGTGAGTTTATCGTTGTGTGCATGAACCTAATATGCTTTGTTTAAGTAAGAAATTTGCTGTACTTAAAACACAATAAAGTCATATAAGTGCCGAAGATTAGAGGTGTTACAAAAGACCAACAAACACAAAAAAGAAGGAGGAGACATAAGGATGATATATTTTTTTTATAGGAAAGAAGGAACAAACCACACCAGAGAACCTTCCAACCACACACCCACACATAATATGGACAACTTCGAATATCTACAAATTAAAGGAACACCAAAAAAAAACAATGTCAGCACTTAGAGACAGTCCAGAAAAAAACAACTCTGACCCCTGATTTATTCATTTTTGTTGTTGCTATTGTTGTTGTTTTTTAATCGTTTTTTCTTGTACAATGGTTTTGTATACTTATCTATTTCATTTAATTGCGGTTTTAGTCAAACTTTATAAATTGATCTAAAAGGTACCAATATAAAATGAGTACATAAAACAGATTGATCAAAGTGGGTATTGTCACAGAGATTAAACATATTGGAAAGAGACCAGGACTTCACAAAAACAATTATTTTAAGTCGAATAATCCGCTATTCTACAATTACAAAGTTCTATATGCCAAGTAACTAATTTTGAGTTTCACGTGTCAAGTTTTTCGGATGCAATTCTTTGAATATCTTGATAACTACTCCGCATAATCTAAAAATATTCATAGTGGAGACAGGACATTTGGTTTCTGACCACATGGACTTAGTAACTCAAAACCGCCCAAAATGTCAGATAGTACTTTGCAATTCCACGGTGGCGAATTTAAAAACATGTTCTCTTACCAGAGAAAAGTGAATGTCCGTCTCGTTGTTCTCGATGAAGACGCGATGCATGGTGTCTTTGTAGAGAAAGTTGCTGGCACCCAGTTGGCGGTAGGAGATGACCATCAGGATCCACAGGAAGAATGAGTAGATGATGACCTGGAGAGAGGTTATTACTCGGGGTCATGGTTCATAGTGGTCTCGGTGGTCTAGTCACTAGGCTCTTAGACTCACAGCTGTAAGGTTGTGGGTTCAAATCCCTTCAGGTGTCCGACGTTATGTCCTTGGTAAAGGCACCTTAAACGATTTCATCTCACTTTACCTACGTAAGAATGGGAATCTGGCTATGGACGGCGAAAGATCTTGTCAGTTTGGTAATGTGTTAGCGCGTGTAATCAATTAGGAAGTATCAACAAGCACACATCCAAACGCTTGCACATATACACATGTAAATACAAACACAAACACACGCATATAAAAAAACACACACACACATACACACACACAGACACACACACACACACACACACACGCACACACACACACGCCCGCACGCGCACGAGCGCGCACTCACACAAACACACATACATAAACATACACGAACACTCACAGACAATTAAATGATATTTTCTTTCTTTACACAATTACAATGTACTCAAAAAGTAAGTAGCCTCAAATTTGGTTTTTGAATCAAACTACCCTCCAGGGTTACGAAATAACTAAAATACAATATCTAGAAGCAAGTCTAATTTATGCGAAGCACACAAGTAAACAAAAAAGATGAGGTCTGGTTGCATACTTCTCTGATAATGGCCCACATCTTGATCTCATTCATTCGACGCTTCCGGTGCTTCTCAAGCTCCATAGGGTCAGGTGGCTTGTAGCCAATCTTCCTGGGTCGAGTCGCGCCAAAAGCTGGAAAAGGAAAGATGTGAACACTACTTACAACTTCATGAATATTATATATGAATAAACATGTGAATAAAATAGAATATAACACACATGAACGCTTATACGATAGATAGATTGATAGATAGATATATAGATAGATAGATAGATAGACAGACAGACAGACAGACAGACAGACAGACAGACAGACAGACAGACAGACAGACAGACAGATAGACAGACATACAGACAGACAGACAGGTAG